AGGTCGCAGCACAACGTTGACCAACCAAGTCCAGGACCAGGACAGGTGGAGGAGAGCGGATACAGCAGGGCCTGGTCTAAGCTCTCAGACAGGACACCAGAGCTGTTGAGTCTCCCTCCACGCTTGTAACTCAGTCCCCTAGTCCCTGTATTGTGACTATAACGCAGCAATAAAGAGTTATAGTCGCAGTATGAGGTCTCAGCTCACTAATGAATGAGAAAGTACTTTTGTGTCTTTGTGTTGACTTTGTACCAAAGAGCTGGACTCCGGACAGCTGATACCGGAATGAGACTTGAATGTGGGGCACTCACTTTAGCACGTAGCCAGGACGTGGTTAGCTTAGCTTATCATAAAGACTGGAAACAGCTAGCCTGACTCTGTCCAAACATCACAAGAGATCATGTTTTATTTCTCATGCATTCACAGTTGAATTGTTGAAGACGAGGAGATTTTTTTTTCTTTCGCTTTAACACATCATGACGTTGATCTTCATCCTTTATTTCTCTATCTGCCTAAACAAGAAGAGGATGTGTATATATACATATATATATATATATATATGTATATATACACACCACTCTGGTGTTACTCCCAGGAGAAGCATGATGGTCATTAATCTACTAAATATTATGTAATACAACTATCAAATATTCTTGACTTTTTCTTTTGCTCACAGGTTTCCAAAAATAACTACGCTCCGTTATGCCCGACATGTAGCAGTGACAGGATTACAGTGCATGAGTGATACCCACAGTAATAATGAGTGTGTGTGGAGAGCAGGTAATGACAAGGGTATAGAGTATCACTAAGACCTTCGAATGACAAGGATACGGTGAATGACTTTGAGCCGGGACTGACGGCGTGTCAGATGATATGGCTGCTGTATAAATGAGGTGCTGATGGACTGCAGCTATTCTCCTCCCTGTGCTCACTGTTTATCCTGCGTCTGATATCTGCTCAGATGGATCCCGCTCTACCACACCAGGGTCTCAAGGATTAGATGGATCGGACAATTTGGCCAGTGACTATTTAAATCAATAATCATGGTTAATGAAGACACTGCTACGGGGTTAAAGACAGAGAGTAAGAGTTCATTCATTACTGTCACACACACACACACACACATCGTGGTGTAAAGCCCATAGGCCTGGGCTTAGACAGCCAGCAGTGCCGGGCTGGCTGGTGTGTATTTTGTGAGGTGCCTGTGATGATGAACAGCACAGCAGACTATACACTGCAGCAGCGCTGAACTCTTTAAACTGAGCACTCAGCTCAACAATATGAAGATGGCTTTGTGAGCGAGGGAATAAAACCTGCTTACTCTCACTCTCAGTGCCTTGCTTCTTGTTTTCATTAACTTCAACTTTACACTACAATAATAACCTGCAAACTATCAACGTTTTTATCCGTGCACCTGCACAAAGGCACACGGGCTGACATGTGATGCTCGGAGCAGGTCTGCCGTCCACGATGGCACAGATGTCCCGACTCTGCCCGGATGAAATGTCACTCCCAGAGGGCCGAGCGTTGAGGCCTTCAGACACCTGTGGGGACTTAGCAGCGAGAGGAGACAGTCTGCAGAGGGACACGAGGAGCTGACAGGAAGCGGGAAGGACAATTCATCTGCGTTATTAAAAATTCCTAATGGGAAAGACTATGAAAAGTCCAACAAGTGATTCTGAAAGAGGAAGTTTTATTTTTTTTGAGTGATGGGCTAAAAATGTCTTGATAGCAGCCAAACACAATCTGTCTGAAACAGCCAAGGGGAGATGTGAAGTGCGAGCACTCAGGACACTTCAAATGCTTTGTGAGTTACTGTTTTCCGGTGCTTAATGTGAACAAATTGATACATTACCTGGAGCCCTGACAACAACGTGACACAGTAATACCACCAGAAAGGTTGGGTTTTACTCACTTAAGTGCCTAATGAGCTAAAGGAATGCAGGAGGGCTTATTTCATTAGAAAAGAGATTACTTCAAGTACTGACTCAACTGTACAACCACATGTGCATGTGCATGTTAGGTCTGCGGTGCTCACACTGTCAATGTGAATGAAGGCAAGAAGCTTTAATTTGTTCAGGCCAACTGACTGAAGCTGCTCTGGCAAAAATAAAGCTGTTTCACCGTGAGGATCACTGGAGTTTCATCAAGTCAAATAAATCAGATGTCGTATAACTAAACAAATATACAATGTTTTGCCATTTTTCCCCCCACACTAATAGGCAGGGATGCAAGGTGCAGCACGTCTCTGAATCCTAAATAAAAAAAAAACAGTCAAGAACAAAAGGCTCTATCTGACAAACTTAAACTGAGCTATATGTAAAATATTTCAGGTGGGATGTTTTCCAGGCAGGTGAAAACCATATAAAAGGAAGATTAAGAGCCAGGTCAATGTGTTTCAGGCCATCTGAAGGAGGATGCACCCAGATTCTTTCCCCTATCCTAAAACGACCCTGATGAAAGTGTTGTACACACCTGCCGTTGAACACATGAGCTATGCCAAAAGATCAAAATTTCATATCATGAAATGCAGTTAGAGGCCCGCGGTCCAACCTCGCAGGTGCTTCCACTAATTTGTCCTGATCAGATCTCTTGTTATTACAGAACAGAGTTCAGCTTTATAGGAATGTTTCACTTTGACTTGACAGAGCATGGGAAGCAGGTGTGTAATTAAGGATGAATTAATTAACAGTAAAAAAAAACTAAAAAGAAACGGCTGCCTTCAATTTAGGTGTGCCACTTCCAGGGCCCTTGTGTTGTGCTTACTGAGAGACCTACATGCAACAGAGCCATTGTTAATGTTAGGAGTTACACCTGTAGTCAATAATGTCTTTGTTTCATTAGCATGAGGCACAGATAAAGTCTGATTTTTAACTGATTGATTAATTAGTTGAAAACAGAAAATTAATCTGCAAGTATTTGATAATTGTTTTATCCAGTGAAAATACCAAAGATTTCATAGTTACAGTTTCTCAGTTTTCTGCTTCTGTGTGTCTTACATGACAATAAACTGTATATCTTTATGTTTTGAAGTGTTGGCGAGAGAACTGTGTTGATCTCTGGGGGCTTCAGGACATTTTGCTTTGGTCATTTTTCACAGTTTTCTCACTTTTTAAAAACCAAATGTATTATCAGTTTATTGAGAAATTGAGATTAATTTAGAAAATAACTGTTGCAGTTATAACATGGAGTTTGGTGACCTCATGTAGTAACATAGATCCACCCTGAACCTGAACATGGGTCTAATGAGAACAACTGGAAACACCTGTGTGGATGTGCACAGGTGGCGTTCAAATACTCCTGTGTTTAAATGAAACAAACAACTTAAAAAAACAATTTAGTTCATAACTTCTGCTTGTAAATACCTGCTGTGGATTTTTATGATGAATCTAAAAACAGTGACAAATATCCTTAATATTCTTCTCTGAATAGTCTCCCTTTATGCCATCATGATGTTCTTTAACGAGTCTGTAGAGGTGTTTGTTCATCGGTCGATTAAAACATAATGGTTGGATGGATTTCTACGATATTTGGTTTTAAATAAATATTGTTTTGAGTGAGATGTCTCAATGAGTTACACTGCTGACATTAGCATTTAGCTCAAAGCACTGCCTCACAGAACCGGTAGCGCGGCCGTAGGCTGTAGTTTTAATTGAACTGTTTTCTGGAGATTTTTGTCCATTTTTGTACGACTTTGAAATCATCACCTCCCACATGTTTCATACATTATGATGTCACTACTGTAACCACCTCATGTTCAAACTGAAGCACACCCACGCTGATACAAATGCAGGCAGACCACTGTTAAAGGGGGCTACATACATCCATGCTGTTGGACTGCAAGTCTTTAATAACCAAAAAAAAAAAAAAGAGAAAAAAAAAAAGAAAAAGATGAAAACCAAAGAAAAAAAAAAACTCCATACAAAAGTATATGTACATGGTCACTTACTGAACTGTATAGCAGTTTATGGTAATGATCTAACATGGTTCACCTTTTAGTTTTAAATACAATACTCAACAGTCAGCAACCACAGAACTGGATCTGAAACACAAAGTGGGCTGTTGGTGGAGAGTCCATCTTTGTCATGGCAGGTGATGCAAAGCAGCTGTCGACACATCAGGACCCGCTAACCAGTTATGATATCAGTCTAACATTTGTCAGTATGAATGAATGACATACCATGTGATTGGGAAAAAAAAAAAACAACTAATTATTGATTTCCTTTGAAAACAAAACGCACACAACTGTTGACAGACATAAATAACGCAATAATTGAATACCAGTGCAAGAAAGCAACAGGGAGACACGGGACAAAATCACAGACGATGGGATTGAGACACCTGCTATTAACACATACAGTGGAGCCTGAGTGAGAAATCCCAACGGAACACAGACACAGAATTTAACTTTTGGTCGACTGAATATGAGAATCAGGGGATGTAACATCAACATTGAAGTTAATATTGATGGGGTACATTAAAATTGAAAAAAAAGAGGACATGGAGATAGACAGAAAAACAATTGCACCGTATCCCTGCCATGTGCTGTGAGCTCCGACCTGCCACTCCTGTGATCCTCATCTTTGAACCTGAAGGAGACACTCGAGCGTGCGTGGAGGATGACCAGTGGGTTGAGCTGTTGAGGAGGAGGAGATGCAGCGTGTCACAGTTAGGGAGTCTCTGATTGGGCTACTGGTTCCAGCTCCCACCTCACTTTGTGGTAGTAAAATCCTGCTCAAAGGTCATTGGTGAGCTTAAGTGAAACCTAACTGTGATTGTGTGACTGTGGTTGCATGCTAATGTGAAGCTCTGACACACTCGCACATACATGCCTGTGTCCTCCCTGCAGCACACGCCCACTGCCATGCACTCTGAATGAAGGCCTGGGAAGCATCTAAACGTTTGCTTGTGCAGTCAAAGGTGTAAGTACTGGGACAGCAGGCTCTCTGATAGAAGACAGTTCACTGTGATAAAACAGTGTGCATCTGTTCTCTGTGTTATTGATTCGTTAATTCATAAAATCTCATTTAAAAAAAAAAAAAACTGTGCAAATGAAGAAGCAAGCAGAAGTTTTTTATTTGGAGCTGCTGCACTGAAACATTTTCTACCCTGGTGTACTGATTCTGCATCCTGGCTGTGGATGGGAATCTTAAAAGCAGTTTAGAGATGATGATGTTTTGCACAGGAAGTAAAGGGTTTGTATTGCAGTAAAGGTTTGAAAAGAAAGTGATACATGAATGGTCCCTGGTGTGGAACAACAGACGACACTAAATCCTACAGGGTGATTTTTTTACACTGAGGCCAAATCATTTTGTGAATAAAAAATGCCTGAATTATTGTTCTGTATCCATTGTTAAAAAATAGACTGATGCTGGCATCAAAAATAAAAGTTAAGCTCACTGTTCCAATACTTCCACTTTTAACTGTATTCATTTCAAAGATTATTATGGAAATGTTTACAATAAGTGCAAATTGGTCGTTTTTCCAGATCAGCTCCTATGATTTTTGATGCTGCGATTAGGAGGTGAATACCCCACCTTTGTCGTCTCAGTTCAACTCCCTGCCTTGTATTTGTCCAAACCCCCTGTGCAACTTTTTCCATGCCTCCCTCTCTCCTTAGGTCCTCGGCCTCACTTATCAGAGTTCTTGCGTGGTCTGCGGAAGCTGGACATGTTCTCATTTAGTGCATAGATGCGCCTGGAGAACTCCTCAAAGCCGGCCACGTCCAGCTCGCCCAGCACCTGTTCGTCACACTCCACAGCCACCGCGTGGTCCACAGGGATGCGGCGATAGTCTTCCAGCCGGGCCTCATCTGCTAACCCTAACCCCATCACTACCCCCATCCCCAGGCCTAAGCCAGTGGCCTCTGTGCCCATGATTTCCTCAGCTTGCTCCACAGAGCAGCGCAGCTCTGGGACCAGGCTAACGGGCGCCTGTCCCGGTACCACAGAGCCGTTCATGGTGCCTGTGTGCTGAACAGCAGCCACTTTTTCCTCCCCAGTTTCCTGCACTGTAGAGGAGTTAGACACCCCTGAGCTGCTGGGTGGTTGTTCTTCAGTCTCTTCTTCTTTATCCAATTCAATCTCTCTATCGGCGCTACTGCGTCTCTCTACTTTCGCTTCTGTCTCCTCACCCTGCTCCGTCTCTTCCCTCTGCTCTCCCTCCTCGATGGCCTCCGTGGTCAGGTTAAGTGAGGTCATGCCGGCATCTAGGGAGGAGGACAGGTGTTTGGGTGAAGGCAAGGGTGGTGCCAGGCCAACGGGGGGCTGCCCTTCATCCATGGCTGTATTGTAGCTGGGTGGAGGGGTTGGCTTGTACTTATCTGCCTCCGAGCTCGCCCTTTTCCTCAGGCCTCGGTCTGGGGAGCTGGTGTGGTAGGGGTAGCCTATCTCTGAGGCGGCAGACACGCCGAGCTGGGACTTGGACGGCACCGGGATTGAGCTGGAGACATGGTGTCGGTCGCTGTGAGGAAGGAAGAGAGGGACATAAACAAAGGCAATGACAATAAAACTACTGGTACAGTATTAAAGTCAACATTTAGACTGTTTTCCATTTGTTACAGTAAGCTTTAATCTCCACAGCCAACATGACTGTGATGTCCTAAGGGGGTGAATGAGACACTCAGGTTCTATTTGGACCTGTTTCTCAATTGATCTCATCAGCACCTCTCCAGCCAAAGCACCCGCCCCCTTTCCCCTGATCCAAGAGAGAGACAGCTGCAGTTCTTTGCAAATCACTCCACCTTACAACATTCAGAAAACATTTGTGCAGGCTGTGAGACTAGGCCTCACGTACTCACCCAAGTATGTCAGACATTTTCCTCCATAACAGATAACAGACTAAGGATCTGGGACACCCCACCCCGCCCAAGTGCTGGAGCCATAAATTTACTTAAATGGGGGCCTCACCACCTCTTCCGATAGCCAAGGCCATGTATAATTCACTGGACTACTTAGCGGTCTGCCTAACGGGACCAGTCCGCTATCTCAGGAGCTGAGGCCCTGTGCCGTTGGGGTCAAAGGTGAAGCAGGGCCTCCCTGTGCTCTCTGGTGATTCACATCTGTTGGTTAAAGAGTTAAGGACAAATCTCTGCTTGTTCAGTTGGACGTGCAATCATTATAGATGTCCTTGTAAATTTTCTCCCGTCACCTGGCGCTTGCAAAGGAAGTCTTGCCTAAAACAGTGGCGCTGACACATCAGTGATGGAAGCACTGGCAGACATATGCGTTTATTGTGTACTAGCTTGCAGTCTGATGGACAGTTTCACCACCAAACACATGACGACTTGTAAAAAGGGCCCTGACCTTGACCCGTGCCGGCACCCTGCAGAGGTGGTCCTGACAGGGTTCACAGGCAGGACACTGCGGAGATGAGGGCAGAAGCCTGTCTAGTTTTAAGAGAAACTTGTCAAACTTCAAAGTGCCTGTGCTACAGTAAACGAGAACCATCCTTGGGCTGAAGGTACAGTATGAAACCGGTTATGGTAATGACCTGCAAATACTGCACCTCTAACATTTCCGCTAATTGGAGTCACACAGACGTCCATGTTGAACTGTCACCTGAGGTCAGGGTTAAGAAAATAAAGGTATAGTGTAATGACCTGATCCTGTGAGAATGTTCGTCTTAAGTGGGCAGAACAGGAGATGGGCTGTGTTTTACTTGGCAGCGCATATCCATCAAAACACATCATTTAATATAAATGGCTTCAGCCTTCCCCCCTAACGAGCACATGGTTAATTCTGCAGAAAAGCATTTTTGAGGCAAAATGGAAACAATATGCTCTTTAACACCTAGTTTTCTGGGGAGACAAATGGAATAAAAAGAATATTTACGAGTTGAATGATTCGCCATCTTAAACACTTATCTGTGACTTTCCAAATGAAACCATCATGGGCTCTTTAGGAGCCAGTCCAAAAATTCAAAACCTGATTTAGGGGAAAGGAATAAAGACAGATGTCATGAGAAGTCAATTATCATTTAAGTAAGTGGAAAATGTGGTTCAGACTCTTTGAAACACAATACAAGTTTGGAAACCGGAGACAGCTGGTACTGAGTGAAGTCTAAGGTTTCAATGCATCATTTATAACAAGCTAGGAAGTGACTATACGTTGTTTGAGCTTGACTGAACGATGTCCTGTCCTGAACGACTGATTAGATGGTTGATTTTAATTATCTTCAGCCCATTTTCTTCCACTCCTCCCTCCAGCTGACTCTCTCGTATAATCCATTTGCTCAGATTTTAACTGGCCATCTAACAAATGTATTACTGACATTAAAAAAATAAAAATCACACAGTCATCACACCAAGTCTTAAGTATAATGAGGACTCTTGTATTTGGACCATGTTATTTGGTTCCACTGTGTGTCTTGGTTAGGCCTGCATTAGTTATTTGTGTCAAATAGTGCTGCAGCGTATTAATAACAGAGAGAATGGGTGTGCTTCAGAATGGGTGGAGGACTTCAGCCAAGCAACCCTCTGGGCAGTCATAACATTTTTTCTTGAAACATTTTAACTCTGATGACATGTTTTTTAATGCAGGCAATTAGCCTACACATGTATAGCCTCTGTGACCATATGTGCTAAATAAGGGTGCTGGGAAGACAGAGCTGCTGAAAAACATTTCCTAAAGTTGTTTGGAAAAGCTGGAACTCATACAGCGCCATTACAGAATAAGGCCAAATACTCCCATGGCATGAGCTAACTGTGTCTCCCGTTGACAGTCTCGGTGCACTGAATGAGATTTTTCATATTCTTAATAAACATTTACTCTGTCCCCTTTCTGAAATTTCCTTCCCCTTGTATAAACCATTCATACAAACAGTCCTTAAACTGCTTTTTGAGACGAGGTGGAATGTAATTCTGAGGACGGTCATTGGGTTGGCCCACCACTTTGGTCCACACTGAAATATCTCAACTGTTATTGGATAGACTGTCATTATTTAGGACATACACTAAGTTCCCAGTTTGTTAGGTACACGCAGTAAAAACTAATGCAGTCTAATACATAATACAGTCCTGCAATAAATCATATCCTATCCTATTGATCATAGAGGTGAACCAAAAACAAAACATTATAACCTTCATGAAGGAGGATTTATTGCAGGGCTGTTGTATCAGACTGACAAGTTTCAGCTAGATGTGCCTAATAAACTGCTAACCGGGTAAACATTCATGTTTCCCTCGGGGGGTGGGGGTGGGGGGGGGGGTTGTTACGACTTTGGTAAACCCTTAACTTTTGCTCAAAACTTTGGTTTGGACCTAATGTTAGGGCGCCAATGTTAGCATTTTGATCCTATGTGCCACTGTTGCTACGTAGAGCTGAGCTGCTAGCATGAGTGTAGATTTTAGTTTTATTAAAAACATACTTTAAATATCCACTGCAGTATTGAGACAGTATTCACCCCTGGTTTGTTGCCAGGTATCCCTGAGTCATGACAGATATTGACTGATGCCTGTTCTGGTAGATGCTGTGGTCCATTAGAAATTGTTGTGTTGCATGTAATGATGTTACTGGGCACTCTTTTAGCATTCCTCATCAAGTATGTTTACTGTTTGAACTTTCTTCTGTTTTGGGAAATGTTTCTTTCAATTACTTCTGATGCCACTACACAATAACTGTTTGAATAATAATATCAATAGTTATAATATATTTGATGTATATAATAAAGAAATCCCCCTCCGTATGTACTCTATGAAAATGGACCAAAACAATAGAGGGCTCAGATTTCAGACAGCTTGGACTTTGTTTGCGGCATTCATGACAAGTAAAGTGAATTCATGATAGCAGCTCGACACACAATACTGATGGGAAAAAGGTCTGTTGCTCATCTCTAATGTGTAATATGCAGCTGTGTAGTGATAAGTTCCCTCCACTGGCAGCAGAAGCTATCCAGCTACAGTAAGTCTCTACATTTCACCGGGCCTCACTCTCTGTTGTATCACTCAAACAACAACTTGAGCGCACATTTTAAATGCTGCTAAAAGGCCTCTGCCTAAATCATCATGTACAAAACTCGTGCCGAGCCAGAAATAGCCTTCACTCCTCCAGAGCTTTTTGCCTGCTCTCTTCGTTTCCACTGCTGATGTCAAACCTGGCATATTTCAGGCCGACTCAGGAATTCGGTTAGCCAGACCTTTCCACTGTCCTGTCCCCCGACAGGCTTCACAACATGCCCCTGTTCATATTCAAATCCCACTAAGGAGCCATGATTTTGGGCCAAAACAAGCAATGGCAGATAAGATTTGGTTGTTTGATGTGGTTTAGGGAAATCCCTGTGAAACTAATATGCGCTATGGTGGAAGCTAAGTTTTCTTTTTGCTTTGACAGAGCAGGACTTATCGACCGTCTGGCTCTGGAAGACAGGGAATCACCACAGCTCAGCATGAGCGACACGATCAACAAGCTGACAACACCCTCACACTGCTCAATGCATTTCTGATGTATTACATCTTTTACAGGGACTATACTGTTGTTTTTACAACAAACATATAACAGGGATATTGATTCACTTAACATTTTATTTAGGCTTTAGTGTCTGCAAGCCAACATGGAACTAAATAAAATAAATTTAATCTACTATAGTTTTGACAGTTTTTATACTGATCTCATGCAAAACAACCATATTGACAGCAAAATAAATTAAATAATAATGTTGAGAATAGTTTGACATTTTGGAATATAAGCCTACTCAGTTTGGATTTGATGAGACAAGTGTTACCTCTCTATGGTTAGTATAGCTTAGAATAAAGACTGGAAACAGGGAAACCACTAGCCTGGCTCTGTCAAGATGAAAAAATAAAAATAAACAACAGCTTTTCAGCACATTTAAAGCTCAGTAATTAAAACAGCGTACTGTATCTCGTTTGTTTAATCCACACAAAAGTACAAAAACAACAAGTTGTGTCTTTTCCATGTGCACTGAGTTTGTCGTATCCAACAAAGAGTCTGGCACATAACCCCCACAGAGTTTGGACAGAACCAGACCTGTGCCCCCGTGCTTCCAGTCTTCATGCTGAGCTAAGATAATCGTTTGTCCTTGTTATTGGTTTATCAAAGTTAGTGATTATCAGTACTTTACACACTTCTTATGGTGTGTGTGCAATCACTTTCATACATGTACATGATAGAATTTCCAACTTCACTACTCATGAACAGCAGTAGTCTATGCTGAGCAGTGCACTGACTTAACTAGCTGAGGTTTAACTGGACTCACTGATACCATATGCATGTGTGAGACCCTGTCATGTCCTTCATTCTTATTAATGACTACTATTTCATCAGCTATGAAACCTTATAGGGTTGAAAATGTACTGTACATCTAAAGTTCAAGTTCTAAAATCCAGGATCAAGTTTTATTGGATTTAAAGGCCATATTTCAAAAATAAAAAATCTATCATGTTGAGGTGACTCCTCAAAGAAAGAAATATAAAGATGCGGTTGGGTAACATAATGGTTTATGTGACAAGAGGGAGAAAAAATAGATTGGAAATGGCAGCATTATTCCTGCAGGGTCAGGAGGAAACGGTGTTTCAGGAACTGATGTACGTTTGTAGAATATCACATGAACAGAGAGAAAGGATTTATACTTCCAAATCATCCATTACTGTAAATATAGTGAATTCATAGGGCACTTGTCAGGTTTAATGTTCCTTGCAAATTTTAGGGTTAGCGTTGGTAAATAAATTTCATATTATAACCTTTTATCTGTCACTGTTGAGACTGCAGCTGTCTGAATGTCACAACTCTTTGTATACATCATGTAACACAAGGGGACTACCGTGGTTTTGCTAACTTTTCTCAACTCACTATGGGGTCTTTGGGGAGGTTCACATCCTCCAGCTGCTGTGTTGAATCTGCCTGGCCAGGCGCTCTGCCACACCTTGCCTCCCCCCTTGTACGTAGCTCAGCTTCCAGGCACTGGAGTGGGATTAGGGCCCTGTGAACCTCTGCCAAGCCCTCAGTGGATGTGGAGCGGCAAATGGGAGCATGTTGAATACGTTTGCTTTGATCTCAGCAGACTGTGCAGTTTACAAAGAATTGGTTTCTGGTACTGTCTCTGTCTCCCTCTCGGTAATAGATTCACCATTTTTCCGCTGTTTCTCATCCTTCAGCAAGATTTTGAAAAAAAAAACTTTACTGCCCATTTTGCACCAGAGCTTGACTGTATATATTATGAAATGTTATGATGTGTTTCTGAGATGATAATGTTTGGAAATGTATAAAGATATGATCAGCAGTTCGCCAGACAAGCATCTGTAGTCCACTGTAGAAAACAGGCTTCATAGTACACTCTTTTGTATTCTCTGCTTTTCTTCAATTTTCCATCCGTTCTGTATAAAATGATTCTGCGATAATGCCATGGTGTGGGTCTCGGCCCTTTGGGAAAGGGTCTCCCTGCAGACTGGATGCATGCTGAATTAGTTCTTTATGGAGGGAGGAACCGTTTCCAAATATGTTCTGGAAACAGCTCCCTTGGTCATATCCTTCATCACATCATCCCTGTTTAGGATGCATGGAAGAAAGAAAGAGGTGGCAAGGAGGGATAGAGCAAGCAGATTAGCCTCTCCTCACAGTCTATAAGATAATTAACTGCAGATGCCATTCTGCCCTTTTATATATTCATATTTCACAAGCTGGGTCCCAGCGCTGGAAACTGTATCTGAGTTGAGGCTTTTTCAAACAGTGCATGGAAGACTGGAACTGATATGGGAAGAGGATGGTGCAACAGTGTGTGAAGAAAAATCAGTGCATATCCTCCGTATTACAGAGCAATGTGAAAGAGTCACCTCCTCATCCTCACTGGAGACTTTGATTTAGGCTGAAGGAGCATTATGCATGGTCTTATGATGAGAGGAGGGCAAGTTTAACAACTGTGACTCCACATACTTTTCATACATTTTTTTTTACCTTTTTCAAAAAGGTTTTTTTTTTTTATTTTATCAAGTTTGACATTTTCCTATCAAGGTCTTTTTTTTGTCTGAATTATACCATTTTACAAATAGACAAATACTACTGTGCTCCATTACATCATTATAGACTGTACTTATAGTACCGTATGTCTTGCTTGTCTGAGTGTGGCTTTCCAATATAGAGACATACTGATAACTGAATTATTCAACAAACACAAAGTGTTTGACGTGTGTTCAGTAGTTTAGAGGGACCAGTGGGAGGGTGTTACCTTTGGACAGAGCCAGGTAAACTGTTCCCCCTGCTTCAGTCTTTCTGCTAAGCTAAGCTAACTGGCTGTTTCACATTTACACTGCAGAAATGAGAGTGATATCAATCTAACTCTCTGCTACCCTTCCCTAAATATTGACTTATACCTTTAAGGTATTGCTAAGTGTATTGGTTAGCGGTAGAGCTGTATGTCATATGACAATGTGAATGACTGATGTAAATGTGTGTTTTTAGGTCAGTGCCGTTTCGGCCTGATGAGATGACTTCTGAGTCAGCACAGAGCAGCTTTTGTCCCTGTGGTCTCATTGTCACAAAGGAGTGTGTTTGTGGCAAGCCACTGTGGAACAGTTACACTTCCACCACCACTTCCATGCATGTGTACACACGAATACACATACACATGGCTTAAGGGTTTAGCGGGTCCCTGCTTTCATCTCATCTATCTTTGGGCCCTTCCACTTCCCATTAAGGAGGGGGGGGGGGGGGGGGGGGGGGGGGGGGGGGTCGATGGAGGACTGATTTGGGAGCTCAGGCTTTTCATGGCTTCTTTCCTTTCAAAACAAAAGATTATTCAATTAATGTGTGTAATACACATTTTCCCCTTTGCTGACCCTGGGAGAGGAGTGGAGATCAAAGACAGCCCTCTCTTTTTTAGGACAGTGGAGCTGAGGCCTGACGCAGACTGACTCCCAGGTTTTAGTGGAGGGTTAGTCACAGGGCATAAGACTGTAGAAGGAGAGAGGCAGAGATCTGAGCATTCCTCCAAAGCGGGACAAAGTGACTGCTGCAAATTTCATTAACAACTGCTCTTTTCAAATGCGGAGGTACTGATGATGCACGGAGGTGGTGCATCATTACAAAGGCAATCTACAGTATTCTTAACTTTTCCCTAAGACATCTGTATGATTTCAGACAATACTGTTCTGTGACAGACCAATATTTCATATCATGTCAAATGCTTTGTAACATGGATTTTGAAAAGTGCTCTGTAAATAAAGATGATCATTATTTTGCTGTCAAATCAACAGTTCTTACTTGAAAAATGTACTTTTGCCAATAATCACTGTGAACAATCTGAAATAGATGCTGTCAGTCGTGGGTTGACTGCACTGAAAAATACCATTACATACAGCCATGGTTTCATGGAACTCTTTGTCTGTATATTCTCCCTCCTAATCTTATAATTATATACAGATATAATGCTAAATTATAATATACGGTCAGGTATTACCTCAGTCCCACTTGATGAGCTATTTGTTGTGTTTACTTATTTAATATATTTTAATTTTAGTTTTTCTGGTGTTGTTTGCTCTAGGTTGGAATGTGATTTTATGTCGTCTGTTAATGTGGTGGATGATTGGACCTGAGGAAGAATATCCTCAGTTTTGATTGAGTAAATGGGAATGAAATGAGAGCGATTTTACATTGTGTTTGATTAAAGAAAAAAAAACCCTGTAAATTCAGACACATCACTTTTATCCTTCAGGCTTCAGTAACTCAGAGCAAATATTTGTGGTGCCTTTCTGATTCTTACCATCGGACCAGCAGACCGTGCTCCAGGAAGTTCTTCAGGTTGGGTAGTGTCTGCTGCAGGTCTGGGGTGGTCAAGCCATGTTGATATCTCAGCTGCGAGAAAAAGGAACACATATTTGTATCAATAACCTCAAACAAACTACAGCATCACACAGAGCTGTTCGTACAGTGTGTGGTGGCCCTGCACTACTGCATATGTTATTAGACACGTATGTACATTCTCCATGTTTGGACGTAGCTTAGAGAAGAAAGAAATCCCACCTAAAGGAGAGGTATGAAGTCTACATAGTTTCAGCGTGACACATTTCTACTCCACATCGGACTATTACTCATCTGGACACATAGAGGCATCCCTCCCTGTTACCAGGCATGTGCACTAACACATAAAGTGTGTTGAAAGACAGGAGGTGAGATGCGGGTGAGAAGAAAAACCAAACTTCCTGTTAAAACACCTGGATGAAACGGGGCAAAGAGAACACATTATAAACCCCATTAAATCCTCTTATGATCTCTCCCTCTGTCTGCAGCAGACCCACTTCTAAATTTGGCCTTGAATGTTCCCTCCTCTGTGCCACAGAGCTTTATTTCATGATAGAATCAAATCCTGTGGAAAAAAATCAACACGGCCACCTTGAAACTCCAGCCCTGGTGCCAGAAATATCTCCTCCAACAGTTGAGCGATGTCACAGCGAGCCAGCTCTTGTCCTGGAGAGTTTATTTAACCTATATTACTGAACAGCAGAAGAGCATCATGCCGCACGTCCAGGGTATATCTCCGAGGCCCCTCTGTCACACATACTGCCTGCTCCAGCTGACATCTGTTTTGTTTCCACTTAGGTGCCAAGACAACCACTCTACTTTTACACACACACTTCTGGTAAAAGGATGAAGTACTGCACGTGACTGACACACCATTCACCCTGGGTAACATGCTGCTCATTCATATACGACCACATAATGGATGACTGGCATGATAATAAAGGAATTAGAGAGAAATAAATGCTTTAGCCTACAAGGCCAAAGGTCACATTTCCTTATTTTCAGTTTGAGTTTGAGCTGAATTGGTTTTACACTTTAGAAGGAGACAAATTGTTTTCAGGGTATCAGCAGCCCTCCACTCACATCCATACCACTTTTCCTGTGGCAGATGCTGTAATATTCAGTCAGGGCACTGCTCCAGTACATAGTGGCTCTTGTAAAGCTTGATTAATGGCCAGAGGAGTGGCATATAAGCATTAACACAAAAGGTCATGCTGACAGAGTACACACAGGCCACATGTGCATGCGTGTCAAATTTCTACTCAACATAAAATGGCTAAATCCCTCTCTGTCTGAACAGCTGCCAGAGTCATGTATAAACTGTATGGTATGAACGGTTCGGTATGTGTGGGACATGTACCAATGTGTTCAGTGTTCCAGTGTGTTGTTTGTGATCTGGCCTCAACTGGTGCGTGTCTGTTCGGGGAGTTAAAGAAACAACAGTTCTGACCATATCAGAGGAGGGTTTTTATCAAAAGCAGCTCAGACTGAGGGAGTCGGACAAGGGAAGGGTGTCGCCTTGAAACCCAGCTGGTGATGGAGTGGTCCAAAACCTACGAGAACAACACAGAGATCCATTCATGGCTCACAGTAGACCTCAGGGTCTGACCAAATGACGGCACTGCGCTGTCCACAGGGCCGGCTGAACGGAATTGGGTTTGAAACAGTAGGCCAAGATCAATAACACCACCAGTTTAGAAACAGAGAGAGCATAGCAACACCGGGCAGGGGGGCTTGCTTGTTCTGCGGCCAGATGCTAAAAAAAGGAAAATCCCAATCTCATGGATATCTCAGAGTCACGGTCTAGAAAATATGGGTTAGAAATCATGACTCAGATATCAGAGAAGAATAAATATTATAGCTGCAGCAAAGGTAAACAGAGTTTGTTGGGTGCAGCGTGTGCTTTCTTTGATACTCAGTTAGAAGGCGTAACAAAATGCCATCTTTAAATCCCATTACTTGGCCTGAGCTCTGTCGCGTGTGCAATAACCAAAGTGTGTGTCTGTTAGGAGACCTATGTGGAACCACATGCCCATATATCTGAGTGTGTGTGTGGGAGAGAGAAAGAGCATGATTGTGCATTAGTATGTGTGCCTCCTATTGTTTTTCTGACATGTGGAGATCTTGCCAAGCATGCAGCATAAAGAAACTGGATATGGGTGCAGACAGGAGAGTGATGGGTGACGTCACCGGCTTGCTCCGAGCACACTTCATTACCATGAAGCGCGTTGTGGGGGATTAAAAAATAGGAGGATGTTACTGGAAGCACATGTGTAGATGCTTTATATTTCTGTGAGTCCAGGATTCTTCATAATGTGTGTCTCCGACAAGCCAACACACAAGAAACCAAGCGCAGCTGCATGCGTGTTCACTCAGGCTTTTATCAGACGTCTGCCAGTGGGCACCAACAACACTTGAGCTAAGTGTCTGGTTGGCAGCAGTGCAGAGCCACCAGCACTGGGTGACTGCTGCTTCACACTGTCTTTGTAATTAGGTGTGTTAAACACATCCAGACAGGTTGGAAGACGGAATACTGCAACCCCACAGCTGACCCAGCGCTCAGGCAGCCAGACTATCTATATTCATAAACTGGTCTGGCCCTCCCTAGTGGAAACCGCATTAAGTTTCTCCTCAGAGTGCACTGTATGTGTATGTATGTGTGTTCCTCATGAACTTAGTCCTGGGAAGGCATATATTCTGGACGCTGGTTGTCGGGTATGCAAACAGCAACCCCCCCCCTCCCTTCTTCGCTGCTCGCCAGAGACAAACAGAAAAACATTAGTGACCCGGCCGTGTCATCTGGGGGAAAAGAAAACAGAATCTTGTAAAAGAGAAGGGAACCTAGGAGGCAACTTAATGACATGAAGCTGGGTGTCATTTCCAATTGTTGCACCACGAAAGCTTTGACTGCAGGATGGAAACAAACAGCTGAGAGTGAAGGTTTAGATTCTGGTCTGTAAACACAAACTGTTCTTTGGGAGTCTGTTGTAACTGATACGAAGCAACGTGTTGTAACGTGCGAGTTAAAAAATATAACAGATTGATTTCTATTGCACATTACAGGAATAAAATATTGCGCATAATTTCTGACACCAAAAACCAATAAAATGAGCGTCTTGGAAAATTGTTGTACAAACACAGCATCGAGAAACAGACTCTGAGTGTTTCTATGTCAACAGCTCCAGACCAGATCACACAAATTGCTCAGAATCAGTTCACTTGAGACAGCTTGTCATTTCCAGTTTCCCTTTCATACGTCGCGGTGATGAATGCTGGTGGAGTTCTTTGCGTGCTTGTGCGTATGTGTATGGTAGAGTGCTCTCAAGCTGGCCACGGGGTTCTTTGTAATGGGGCTAACCAGATCGTGGTGAGAAATTCCCAGGGTCCACTGAAGCTGGCTGAAAGGCGAGAACACCTACGTGGGGAGGGGGGTAGACTGGGGGCACCCACTGGGGCTCTTTCACATGATGACATAGTGAAACAGATCCGGCCAGGTCTCCTCGTCACTGCTCACGCCTTTGTGTCTGGACACTCCCTTCGCTGTTTACCTTTTCAACAAACCCCACTCAGGGCTTTGGAGATGCCGCAGCATGTGTAGTGCGGTATGACTGCAGGGTTTTGGTATGAGTGTGTGTGAGAGTTTGGAGAATGGACGCAACTGACCCGTCACATCTGACGATCCGGGGACTCATCCTTATACATCAGAAAGATAAAGTAACAACCCAAAGAATGCAGCAGTGTATACAGCGCCAGCCTGCCAATCCACTGGAGCCACGACCACACATAAACACAGTCAAAACTGACTAGAGCTGGCGGGAACCAGTCAGTTTACAGTACATGCCACCCATCATTTGGCAGAACCTGCTTGTTTGCCCGGAGCTCTGTGTAGCGGCTAAACAAACACAGCCTGGCTTATGCCACATATTACTGTTTCCCTGAGTTTGTCAGTAATAATCATCTTCAGATCGGACCTCGAATGTGGGCGGGCTACAGAGAATTTTGAGGTTGATTGCTGATGATGTGGTGTAGGAGGGTGGCCCAGGTAACAAAGCACAACCCCCCCCCCTCTCCTCCACATCTTTTATGAGATCAACGTAGAAGCTGCTTGTCAGCGAAGACATCACAACAATTCAACACATTGCACATTATTAGCATCATTTGACAGGAGGGTTTCCATTGTTAATGGCGACCGGAGGAAATCTGGGACACAGGATATTTCCATCAAGAGCGATGCACTTCATGTGTCCAGAGGTCAAAAGTCCCCAAATCAAACTGCATCACGGACAATTACCCTGTGATTTATAATCAGCACGCTTTTGTCCACTGAGGTATAAATAGAAATGTTTTTTTTACATAGTAAGGCTTTACATACTCCCAGGGGAAGACAATCAGGGAGCTCATTAGGTCCTATGACAGCTTGTTACAGAGGAGCTAACCAGGTGTTCTTCCCTCCATCGTCCCTCAGGTCAAACTGTGGACTGGATAGTTCAGCAGAGACCGTGAGGTTAACACAGACATTAGTCTCCATACATAGAATTCATATGTAGAGGAGTGGAGCTGTGGGAAATAAGCTGCCACTGACAATATTTCAGGGTTTAAGATGTTAAGTTGACTTAGGTTAAGATGACTTATTCATGAAGAACTTACAAACCACAGAATAAAAAAGAAAAACACAAGATGTAAAAACAAATGACACTATAAGAGCTGAATGATACCACATTGTGGAAGTTAGTGTATACTCATTTCTTACAGTCCTGTCACTTCTACCCATTATTTCTACTGTTCCTGCCAGGGAATGCTACAGAGTGTACATGCTGTGCTGTTAATTATTAAGCCAAAACTAACAGTGTTTCAGTGACCTGTACGCATAACAAGTGGTCACCAACAGATGGTGGTTACAACAAAACTGTTGTTTGCTTACTATTAAAATCTGGCAGGTTAATCTAATGAGTCCAATGAAATGGCGAAAACAGCTATAATTTTAGTTAATGTTGCATTCTGGTCTGTTTGGACGGATACAGGTGGTACTGCACATTCCTCATTCCTCAAAGGTT